GTGATGCCGTTCAGCTCCAGCTCTGCCGCCGTCGTCACCACACGTCCCGCGACCGTCAGACACCCAGCAACGAACCGATAGCCGGCGTCAGCCTGCGATAGCAAAGGCACCGACAACCCCGTCGAGCCCATCTTGCAGCCTGTCAGCGTCACCACACTGCTGCCGTCAATGATAAAAAAAGCGGATTCGGATTCGTGAAACATCGCACCCGCCCCCACGTCGTTGTCACGCCAATCCAACCAGCTTGACTCCAGGACGGTCCACGAGTCGTCTGCAGAGATGGCGTGGGACACAGAACCGCTGTTCCCCACCACACGCAACACGCTGTGATCCGACACGCTGAATCTGTGGTGCTGGTACAGGAGGCTTGTCCCGGAGAACATCGTGTTGTTGAGCAGCGCAAAAACAGAGTGGTCGCGGACACCGAGGATATTTACGTAAAACAGGTGCATGTACCCATCAAAGCTGCAGTACCGTGCGTACAGCGAGCTGCCAGCCACGAGTGCCAGCGCCCCAGTCAAGTACAAACCGAGCCCACCATACTTTGATGCATGCGCCTTAACGCTGCTGACCAACAGCGAGGACGCATTCAACACAACGTCGTGCAGAGTCACCACGCTCAACCTTTTGCTCACAGTGTCAGGCCAAAAGAGAATAGAAGACTGCACCGCGTCAACGTCCGTGACGGCAATGTCGCAGTGCTGCGGGAGGGCGAGTGCAAACACAACAACAGAGGACCGCATCACCGTCTGACTCACGCGGATCAGGACGCCGGCTGACTCCGCCACCTCAGCACCCCCAACAAACTGCAGCGCGGCACCCTCACGGAATGTGCACCCAATGAGCGTGATGTTGATGGGGAGATGCAGCGGCATACTGTTGAAAGAAAACGTCAGCGCAGCACCCACGCCGCTGAATGTCACACCCACGTAGCAGTGGTGCGTCTTCCACATGTTCAGCGTGATTTTCGTCAGCGTCTGGTTCACCACGCAGCTCGTGTCGTCGTCAACGGCTCTCTCCGCTACGGGCGGCACAACCGCGTTGGGCACCTCGAAGGGAAAACACGACGCGCCATGCCATCCGTCCTTGCAGCTGCACGAGCACGAGTTGCGGTCCACCGACTCCGTCCCGGGCATGTGGCACGCCGCGTCGTCGTTGCATGTGCCACACCCGAACACCACCACTTCCTCCGGAAACACATAGTCGTACGACACCTCCTCATCGCCCTGCAGGTTGCACCCAGCCACAAACCGCGCGGGTGACGTCACAACAATGCTCGATGGAAAAAAATTGGCGAAGGAAACCCTCGAGTCCACCTGACGGTTGTGTGCAAGCGCCACGGTGGTGCCGCTGCCCGACAGTTTAATTTTGTGCTGAGAATACGGAATAATTAATACTGATGCTGCGACCACGACGTTGCCCTCCACACGCCACTGCGCACCATCCTCGAGTGTCACCAAGCCGTCCAAGTACAACAGCGCGGAATTTAAAAGCCTCTTTCTGCCAACAAAGTAGCAGTCCGCCACTCGCAGCAGCCCCGCGGAGCTCACGGTGGTGTCCCCGTTGAGATACAAGCCATTAGCCGCGCTCATCGTGTTGTTCTCCACGTCAATGTAGCCGCCATTGTTCACTTCAATAGCATAAGCATAAACAGATGATTCCATACCTTTATTCTCCATCGTACTCAGCGTATTTCCCTTCACAATGATCCCGCCACCATCAACAACAACAGCATCGGAGAAATAAACGGCGTAACTATTCCCCTCGATGTAGCTGTCAAGTAACAGCAGCGTCAAATTTTTCCCGGGATCAAAATCCAGAAAGGCAATGGCGTGGGTCGACGTCGTCACAAGCGTACTGCCTGCCACCAGTATCTGGGAGCTCGCGCCAAAACCACCCTCAAACTCCAACGCTCCAGAATCCAGCATCGAGGATGTTACGTTCACGTGCACGCGCGCACCACTCCCCCTGACCGACAGGCCCATGAGGACGCATTGCAGCAGCGTGATGTTGAGTGTCTGCTCTGGCGCGTCAAAGCTCCACAGGTCCAGCACGATCGCGGCGGTGAAGGTCACGTTGACAAAGCACAGACCACGCACACCGGGAGCCGGGACTTCCACGGAGCTGATGCTGCCACCGTGCACGCAGCGAACCTCCGTGTCGTCCGCATCGGGGAGCGGAAGCGGTCCAAGGCCGTCCGGAACCGCAGCCGGCAGACACGTGTCACCGTGGCCGCCAGCAGCGCACACGCACCCACAGCCGCTGACGCTGCTCGTCCTCGCTGCAAAGCACACGGCGTCCACGGTGCAAGCGCCGCAGTCCAACACCGTCACGGGCGAACCAATATTGAGCTCTTCTCCGTAATTCGTCACAGGAGAGCCCCTTATCTCGTTGCACATGCCGTAGATGGTCGGACTCGAGTCGGATGGTGGCGACCACTTGTTTGTCATACATGCAAAGGACAAGAACGAGCCGTAAGTGAAGTTGTTGTCAATTATCGACCAAACACTCTGATCGCGGAACGCCACGCCGTTCTCCTTGGCCACGTACACAACGTAGGTGGTGCAGAACCCGTTGTCGCGGTGCACCAGCCAACTGCCGCCTGTCACGGTCAGCGTGTTTGCCATGAGCATGGCGAAGCCGAGACGGAAAGTGCTGGACACAATCTGCAGCACGCTGCCGCCATCCACCACAACGTCCTCAAACACACACGCACTTTCGTAGTATTCGATGCTCGGCGCACTCCACGAGCCGTTCTGTATGGAGAACACGGAGTCGCCGCTGACACGCAGGTACGACGCAAGAGCGTACATTACGTGCGCCCGCGACACGACAGCGCAGTTGTCCATGTAGAAGACACTGGACAGGTTTGCGCAAAGGCCGCGCTCCACGAGGATCGTAGCGCACGAGCCCCCGTAACAAAACAGCGTAGACCGCGTCATGACAAAACGTGTCGACAGAAGCCGGACGCCGTCCAGGACAAGCGCGGGGCCGTACCGAAATCTCTCGTGGCCACGGGTCGTCGGCAAGTACTGCGACCCGCCAACCGTCGCGCGCAGCGTTGAGTTCGCCAGCAGCACACTCGAGTGCAGCGGCATCGCGCCACGCAGCACGATCGTGCCCTCCAGCGACGTCACATTCGTCATGTTGACGAGGGCGTGGGGCATCAGGCGCGCCGTGCTCTCGCTGAGGCCGCCAATCCGCAGCTGCGCGCCGCCCGCAAGCACGCAGTGGCGCAGCGTCACGTTCAGCGCGTCAGCGAACACGTTCATCGAGCGCAGGTCCACCGCCACAGTGATCGGCCCGCTGAGCACCACCGAGTCAAGGCACGCCGTCGCACGCCCGTCACCAACCGTCACCGACTCCGTCAGCGTCACGCCACTCACGCAGCCCGGCGCACCGCCACCGGCCCTCGCAGGCGGCACGTCGAACGGCAGGCACGCCTCGCCCACACCGCCGGCGCGGCAGCTGCACGCGCAGTCGGAGAACGACGCCGTCAGTGCATCGAAGCACGCCAGCGCAGCCGCACAGCCGTCGCACGGCACCACACTCACGGAGGGCAGGCCGGCCATGCGATAGTCGCCGCTGCTCCGCAGCACCCGGCCGCCGGCACGGTTGCACTGCACCGACACGACGCCGCTCGTGATTGCCAGCCCGGAGACAAGCGTCGCGCCGGTGGCAGCGCAGCGCGCAATCGACACGGCACCGCCGCCCAGCGTCACCCCTGACAGCGACGCCACAGACGACGCCTCGCCCACCGCCCACACGTCGTGCAGGTCCAGCCACCCGCCGCCACCGACAGTCCCACCGTCGCAGCGCACCAGCGACGACGCAACAGACCCCTCGACGCCCACGAAGCGCAGCACCGAATCAACCACCGCGAGGCGCTCTCCAAGCACAATGCCACCGCCGCTACTCACAACCGACACGTTCGTCACAGAGAACACCGAGTGGCTCCGCAGACTGAGACGCGACGAGGACGCCACATGCATCGCGGACGCGGCCAGACCACCCGACGCCTCCAGCAACACGCCGTCAAGCACCACCGCGCTCGACAGCAGGTCCACACCGCCGCCAACGTACACCGCCGACCCGCCCGCCTGCAACGACCTCAGCACAGTGTTGCTCACACGCAGCTGCGTCTGCAAAAGCGACGTCGCCTGCAGCACAAACGGCGACGCCACCGCGTCCATCAGCCCGCTCAGCTGGGAGTAGCGCATCGGCCCCGCCGTCACAATCGTCGAGTCATGGACCTTCACGTTCGTGTGTGCCGGCAGGTTGTGCACAAACACGAGCGAGCAGTAGCTCCCGGACAGCCCGCTCACACTCACCTCCAGGCTCCGGTCACTCGCCGGCTCACCGCTGTCGCCCCGCACGTAAATCTGCGCACCGCCGTCGCACACGCAGTTCCTCAGTTCGATGCGCAGCGCGCCGGGAAGCATCGCCGGCACGTCGAACACACAGCCACGCCGTTCGTGATGGACACGCCGTCCATCAGCACCGTGTCCACGGCGCGGCCAACCGTGATGGCTCTGTCCACCGTGCCGCCCCGCAGTCGCAGCACCACCG